TAACGTGTGTTACTCTCATACATAAGGCAGGGTGACACAAGGCTAAACCAGAAGTGGATAAATTGCAATGTTGGAAATTCAAAGCTTAGTCGTAAGATCATAAGACTGTATAATAACTCATAATCTGAAGGAGACCACACTGAGATTCCAGGGACATTCTTAGGTCAAATATTTCCTGCCCCTTGCATGTTTGATTTCCTAAATTCAAATTTCTTTGACTTCTTTTATTGTTTGCAATCCTGACAGGGTTTTTTAAGGGAATGCAATGTTCCACGTCCCATCCTGAGACACTTTTTCACTTTACTCTGACCTCTTTGCTATCAGATCCCAGCTCTGTTCCAGTTCATTGTCAAGGTAATTTCCCTTTCACATGCACATAGTTGTCCCCTGGTCCAGCCAGTCTCAGTCTCCTCCTCCCTCAAATGTTTTCTTTTGGTCACTGTGACCTCTCTGCTTGTCCCCACACTCTGGCACCGGGAAGTTGCTGACTGAGGCACTGATTTCTTCTCTCACCTCAGCCTTTTCCCCTGCTTCTTGACTCCCAGTCTCCAATCAGATATTTCTCTGTTCTCCATTAACTCCACCCATTTTCCCAGTATGATTTTGGTCCTGTCACCTTGGTGCAGCTTTTGTCACTTGTCCCTATGCTGTTGCTGGGAGATCACCAAGAGCTGACTGGGACAATGAACAAGCAATTTCTCTGACACCCTCCACCCCTGGCCCATGGGCAGTGAAGTGGGTCCTGTTGCTGTGTGACCAGGTCTCCTGTGAAACTCTGTCACAGACAACTGCAGAGGTGGAAGCATCTCTGTGAGGATTTGACTGCTGGAAGCTGCAGAGCATCTGACCTGTGAGCAAAGTGCTTTTTTCCATCCAAGAATCAATATTTTTACTTGATGTGGTACGATTTGACAGGGATGACAAACAGCTCTCTTCCCAGGAACATGACTCCTGGCAGGTTAGAAATCCATGTGGCTATGGATATCTGAAAATGCTTATGTCTTTATTTTTAGTGATCTATGTCTTTTCTTCAATTTTCTATTTTAGAAATTGATCAACTGGGTTTGGTCGTGTTTTTCTTGTTGTTATTAAAGGTGAAGGTTCTCTGATATGAGAACTGTCTGTATTTACAGTTAGAGATTTTAATATTGAAATGACTTGTCAAAATGTTTTGATATTACAAATATAAGTCCAGGCTGTATTATTCCTTAGGATGAGTTTCAGTGAGTCATAAATATCACATTATTACACTAGAGCTAGGAGCCCTGTATGATGAACTAAGACCAGGCTGGGCATTAAGCAAGGCCTGAACAGATAATGCAAATATAATCCTTGTCCTAGAGAAATTAATAGTAAAATATAAATTCAATATAGACAGATGAGAACAAGCTGAATTATACTTTCAAGCTCTTAAGGTTCAGGAATTAGTTTTGCAGTAGAGAAGATTTTTAACGATTAATGCTTGACAGTGTTTATCAGGAGTGTGAGAGGTAACATGAGAAAAGGTAAAAATGATGCTTATTCAAAAGAACAACCCATGGGCAGTGGAGTTTGGCAGTATTGGTCTACTGGCTACCAGAGCTGACATTTCAGTACTGATTGAGAGGTGATCAGTGAAGAACCCTAAAAGGGCAGACAAGGAAACTGTATTTATTGACCACAAGAGAAGGAATCATTGGAGAGGTACACACTCCCCTGTGCTGGGGCAGAACCAACTCTGTTGATATTTTCCCCAACAGCGCTGTCTAAAGAGGGCTCCGAGGGTCCCATTGCTGCCATGCTGGATTCTCTCCAAGGCAGCCTGTCACTGGCTTCACCAGGAGCTTTTTATTAATTCTTATCCTGATATTTCCTTGCTGCAATTCAAGTTCATTCTCTATTTTCACCTTCAAGGCAGAAAAATCATGGCACTCCTGCTTTGTCAAGATCTAACCCCAGCCAGCTGCCAAGCTCCAGGCAGACACTTGCTTATTCCCCCACCTGAGGGATCTATGAAAGAATCAAAAGGGTCAAAGCAGGAAAACGGATGTGTTGAGATACAGACAATTTAATAGGGAGAGCAAAAGCCACACACATTAACACAGCAAATTAAGGAAGAAATTCACTGCTTCCCATGCACAGGCAGGTGTTCAGTCACCTCCAGGAGAGCAGGGCCCCATCACATATAACAGATACTTGGAAAGACAAATGTCATCACTAGAAATGTACCCTCCATCTTCCTCCTTCCTTCTTTTTCTTCCTTTTTCCCCCCATTTTATATACTGAGTATGATGTCATATGGTCTGGAATATCCCTTTTGTCAGTTTGGGTCACCTATCCTGGCTATGTCTCCTTCCAATTTCCAGTCTTCTCTCCAGCGTGGCAGCATGGAAAACAGAAAAGGCCTTGGTTCTGTGTAAACCCTGCTCAGCAATAGCAAAAAATATCTCTATGTCACTAACCCCATGTTCAGGAAATCCAAAACACAGCTCCATACCAGTCACTGTGAAGAGAATTAATTCTACCCCCAGCCCAAACCAGCACATTTCATCACTTATTCCATACCATTTTCATCATGCCCAGGTCCCATGCTATTCAGTACAACTTAATTAACCACCACCCTTCTTCCCATCCTTTGACATAATACAAAGAAGTAATTTCTTTAGTCAATGGACCATGCCTAGCAAATAATCATAAAATATCCACAAATGTTTGCAAAACATCATTTAAGTTCATTTAGTCCATGGCTTTAGGCTCCATCTGTTCTGGTGGTCTCTCAGTACAGGAATGGTGCTGTCTTTCTTGGAGCTCCAAAGCCAGCTCTCGGGTCACTGATGCTCTTAAACTTCTTTTGGTAATGCCTCTCCTCCTTTGATATGGGTGGTTTCTGCTGTACTAATTCCTGTAACATGAAACTCAAATCACAGCTTACAACAATTTAAAGGCACATCCATTACAATCTCCACCCTTGGCCCTTTTTGGACCAGGTTATCTGGTTTAACATTGCAATGAGCTCCTCCTCCTGTCTCCAGCCTGGCTGCAATAAGAGCTGACTCCCTGAAATCCACTATCAATATAGTCTACATCAACATCCTCCTCCATGGGCTGCAGGAGCACACTGCTTCACCATGGTCTTCACCATGGGCTGGGAGGGATTCCCTGCTTTCCCTGATCCAGCAGGGGTTCCCACCCACAGGAAACAGTCCTCCTTGAACTTCTCCAGCCTGGGTCCTTCTCAAGGGCTGCAGTTTTTTGCAAACTGCTCCACTGTGGGTCCCCCATGAGGTCATAGGTCCTGTCATAAAACCAACTCCAGCAGAGGCTTCTCACAGGGTCACGCCACATTCTCCTTCAGGCATCCACCTGCTCCAGCCCTCGTCATCCAAGGGCTGCAGGTGAATCTCTGCTCCATCATGGGCTCACCCACATTCCTTCAACTCGAGATCACTCTGAGAACCACGTTCCAGCCTGTCCAGTACAGCAGCACAGAAACAGCAGCAATACCCTGGCCAGCTGCCAGCCCACTAGCACCATGGCTGTCACCAGAACCTTCCTGGGCACAGGTCAGTGAGGTGAGTGTGGCACAGCATCACAGCAAAAAGTGGCCACCAATGAGCACACGACCCTAACACAGTCAGAAATGCATACATTTACAGACATCCATAATGGAGGGTAAAGCCATTGATTTGCAAGACCCTTGTTAAGAGGTTTAAAGAAGCATTTCAACTACAGATGTTTTTCCTGACAGTTGAGAATGTGTAAAAGAAGCAGTGCTTTTTATGAAAGCCCTTGTCACTTGCTCACAGATGGAAACAGGAGGTTTTCCATTAAATTCAGATCTCATACTGATTTTCAATCTATTATCTCATAGCCCAAATATGCCACACACTCAAGAAGTGTTTTTCCCTTCATTTGTATACATTGCATAACACGGAAAGAATTAGTCAGATATGACTAGATATTTTTCCCTTTAAAGGTCCTCGTCTGTAGTGGGAAAATGGAATTTCCTTTCCTTTCCTTTCCTTTCCTTTCCTTTCCTTTCCTTTCCTTTCCTTTCCTTTCCTTTCCTTTCCTTTCCTTTCCTTTCCTTTCCTTTCCTTTCCTTTCCTTTCCTTTCCTTTCCTTTCCTTTCCTTTCCTTTCCTTTCCTTTCCTTTCCTTTCCTTTCCTTCCTCAGAAAATATCTCTGCATGGAAGTTTTTTTGAATTAAAGATTCAGCTGGGGATGTGTTAAATAGATACAAGTGTTCAACAGTTTAAAATAGACAGGAATTAGGAATTTGATTTCAGATGAGTCAGAGAACTTCACGTATTATTGTTACTACTGGTGTTTAAACCTGTTTATTTTAAAATCATCTGTCACAGAAGGACTGGAAGTAGTAAATTTATGAGAGATTCTTCCTCCCTGATCCCTTAATCCACCCTTAATTCTTAAACCACCATTGCAAGAAAATAGACTTTTAAGTCTTCAAAAGGCTTCCATGGTTCAGAAACAAAAAGTTTTAAAGAACAATTAAAAAATTAACACTAATCTTATTGCAATGAAGTTGAATAGACATATTTCTATAATAAAATAAGATATTAATTACATATTCAGAATAAAAACACTAAAAAGAGCAGCAGAGAATGCAGTGCCATTACAGTGAGTACAGGACTAAACAGGCTTTACAATGAGTAATTAAATTAATTGGTACACAAATGATGTGTATGGATGCTCTCTTCTGCACCAATATCTTTCTGACTGAACAGGCTGCACTGTCTTCCATGTGTGTACATACAAATAATTTAAGAGTTGCAGAAACAGGTATCTGTTGTCTTACATCTACTTTGCCATTGTGGCTATGATGGAAAAGTTTTCTTCTGCTATGAGAGTTTGTGTTCTGGTAGCAACAAGGATTTTTAATCACAGAACTATATGTTTGCTCTTACCCAAAGGAATAAGGGGAAAAGAGAAAAAATATAAAAATAAATATAAGAAAGAAAAAAAAACCTATGAAGTAAAATGTTACCTGTTTTTTTTTGATTCATCAAAATATAAATATGAATCTAAGTATTTACCTCGAAATAATACAGTATCAATGGCCATCATTGATATATTCACATATACAAAATAAAAAGGATCTTTACAGTACTTAATGAGCAATTTTGTAATACTTTACTGGATCAGCAAAAGTCAGGTTTTGAGGAGGCTACTGTGTTACCTTGCTTTTTTTACAATTTATATACACTTCTTTGTGTTCCATCATCTTGTACAATAGTTATGCACTGAATATAATTAAAGTGCACAGAAAAGATAAAGTTCTCTATATCTTACTGTGAAAATGCAAACCAGTTAAAATATTGTTCAAAATAACCAAAGTTATTCTCTACCTTTTCAAATGCATTTATCAGCTAAAGATTAAGCTCATATTTGCACTGTAATACCTGTTGTAATTTTATGAATAATATTATAAGGGGTATAGCAGCTGTCATCACAGATACAATGCAGCAAAACATTCAACTGGCTTATGGATTTCTGCAAAGAAACCAGATTTCTGGTATTTTGTCAAAAAATATTTTCTTTTAAGCCACTGTTAATAGGTAAAACAGGTTAGATAATTTGGTGTAAAATTCTGGTATCACACACATGTCATGCATTTGGATGGATAACACAGAACTAAGAAAGCAAACCTGAGGAAAAAGTAAACAATCAAGTGATTTACTTCAATAGATAATTAGCTTGGTCTGTGAAGGCCAGGTCAGAGCATTTCATATTAATTTTTAATGCCATTTGCAGTGGCATAAAATAAGTTGTGATATCAAAATGAAGATGGAACTGAGAACCATTATGTTGAATCATTCTTGACTGTAGACATGCTGAAATTTGAAGACATTTCTTTGAAAGATACCCATCTCGAAGGAAATCCACAGGGAAAAAACTGTGAAAAAACTTCTAAAGCCTTTTGCCTGAAGTATTTCCCAACAAAGACATAAATCACAGGGTTAATACAGCTGTTGGTGGTAGCCAGAATATAAGAAAACTGCTGCCCAAAGTTGATTAGTTCCCCCCAGAAGCAGCCTTTGATCACTTCTGTATTGTATAATAGATCAAGGAATACAAAAAAATGGTAAGGGGTCCAGCAGAAAAGAAACGTCAGTACCACAGTGGTGATCAGCCTCGTTGCCCTCATGCCTTTCTGCCCCATGCAACCCTTTGCTCTGAGTGCTCTTCGTTCTCTCGCTGTTTTTTTTAGGGATCTAATGGTGGAGAAATTGAGGAAGATGATTGCTGTGGATGGCAGCAGAAACCCCACCACATTAAATACCAGGCGTTCAGCTGTTATCCACGACGAGTTGGGGTACTCCAAATAGCACGCTGAGATATTCCACGAGGAAAACTCTTTCACAGTCCGGTACATGAAATTTGGGACACTGAGAAGAATGCAAAAGAACCAGATGAGCAAGCAGATGCCTTTGGTCATAGTTTTGCTCCATACTTCTCTGTGGTTCAAGGTATGGACAAAAGTCAGGTAGCGATCCACGCTGACGGCCACGAGCAGGTAGATGCTGGTGTACATGTTCAAGACGATGGAGGTGCTGACGCTGCGGCACAGGAAGATGCCAAACGGCCAGTTAAACCCCTTACTGGTGTTCACCGCCCAGAATGGGAGGCACGCGAGGAAGATAAGATCAGCAATAGCCAGATTCATAAGATAGATTTCAGCTGTCTTCAGGGGGCCCTTGTGCAGCGAATAAATGAGGAGAACAAACACATTTCCAAGCATACCAATAACACAGACAGCGTTGAGGTACTTGGGTACTATATAGAACACAATGTCCCACCAGTCATTCAAGTCTGGGCAATGAGTTGAGTTGCTCTGGTTTTCACTCTGGTTTGAGGACGGAATACTCAGTAGAGGAGTTTCAGTCATCTTTTAAAAAATTCCAAAGTGAGCAGGAGATGTCTTTGAAATGAGAGAAAATGACTGCAAAAAAAAAGCATAAAAATGTAAAAGTTGCCTCCCATGAGTGGTGTAAAAAACATTTAACTGCTGCCAATTCTTTATTAGTTCTTACTGATTATTACAGACTAGATCAATCCATACTTGATAAGTGCAGTGGTGGAAAATGTCCCCAGTATTAGCAAGGATAGAATTTCCTCTACATCCTATGAAATTTCGTCTCCTTGCTTCTATTGTTTAAAGTGGCACAGAGGAAGGAAAGTGACAAATGAGTAGTTTTGTACATCTTCTCCAGACTGCTGACAGACACATATGTAGGAGAATTCCATCTCCCTGAGAGTAGTAGGAGTCATGCTGGTGACACAAAGCCAGCTTTGCATCCTTCCCTGCCCTTTCTCTTACTCTTGTTTACCATGCTATGTACATTATTATATTACTGTATTATATGCTATGTTATATACACATTAGTATATCATTATGTCCTGCTGAAGCAGGATCCTGCCTGTTCCCCTGAGCTGGGAAAGCTGCTCACTCTCCGTATGCGCCACTTGCTGCCTGAACTTTGCATTCTTTTGTTCCTTCTCAGTTCCTCCTACCCTGAACTTTGGGTTCAAAATCGCTGTTAGATTAGATAGCTTATTACCTCCAAATGTCAGCAGCTGGAATAATAAAACAGACTCCTCCAAAATACTACGCTAAAAAACTTGCCTGGAGGGAAGGCCTCTGCAGCTCCAAATTTACAGCACTCCTCCAGTTGAAAAATTTCATTTGAATTCAGCTGGAGAGAGGCTGTCTCAGGCTCCAAAGTGTTTAGTCCATCATAGCATTGGCAATACCTTTATTTATTTCTGGTAACTCAGACTGAGATTGTACAGGAGTAAGAACATGGGTAAAACCTTGAAAATCCCCTAGACTTTCTGTCAGAGATCCACTGTCAGAGCTGACTCCTGCTTCATTCTTCTGGTGCTGCCATGCTTGATGATAGTGCCTGGATCCTGGTTTTTGCAGGCTTTCAGTCTCAGAGCATTATGGTAGGAAAGTTATTATTGAGCCAGTTCTGCCATCTGACATTTCAATATTTCATATGCAAGTGGGGCATGTCAATCACAAAATATGTATTTGAAAAAATCGATATTTTGCAATCAGTCATTGTAAATGCTGACTTTCTGCTGCAGCTATTTAACTCTGCCATTTCAGCTTCTTTATTTTACACCTAGGAGACAGCTAATGATGGAATTTCTGAAGACAGAATTTAGGACCACCATTCATCTCTTTTACATATATGTACAGCCTCAGTGACGTCTGTATATGAGCACCTTGCAGTACTTATTTTTGGGATGCCTCTAGGAATAAGTTAAGTATTAATATTCCACATCAGGCTATCTGGTACTAGTGCACAGAATTTTTTTCACCACTGCAGAATTAGGTGAGCAGCAAAGTTGTATCTGAGTTCATAAACTCACTCAAGCTGGCAGCCTTGATGGGGAGCACAGCTATAATTCAAGTTAGCACAGCTTCCTGGATTTCCCTCCCAACAATCTGAATGTTACCTAGTTAACAGACCTCTCATGCAAACTAAGATAACTTGAGAGGATCTTAAATTACAGACAAAATACATATAGCAAATAAATGGCTGATTAGCATCAAAGAGGTTCTTTGTGAGAGAGCAGAAATCTAATGCTGTTATAGCAGAAGACTGGCTAAGACATGAGAGAGCAGAGGCAGAAAATCGATATAGTTCAAAAGTAATGTAGAAGAAAGATAACATTTAAACCTAAACAGAATTATTTATTTTACTAAATATAGAATAAAAAGAAATTCTTATTGTCCTTGCTTGCCCTTTTCCTGATGACTTCTTGCTATCAGCTTATGCCAGTCACTCTGCACACTTTAGACATGATCTCTCAGCTGGAGCCACAAATTTCTTCATGCTCTGCTAAAAACACCAGGAAGTTTTATTTTTCACTGCAACTTAGATTTTATTCACAGCTAAATCCATATTCTTGTTCAGCTAGCAATGGTACCTCAGAATTCTGTAGAGGTTTTCATTGCAAAACTTTCTTCACAGTCTACTAATCACTGTCTGAGCACTACCACAAGCCACAAGCCTTTTAGAGAGTTCCAAATGTTCTCTTGACAGAAAATGCACTTTATTTTCCGTAATTTCTGTAAGTATTTTGAAGTATTTAGTGCTAATGGACAATTAACTGCATGAATGGTTTTCAATTTCTGTCCTTAACACATTCCAGTCATCTTTTATACAAATAATGACATATTTTTCTTACTTTGAACTGATTTCTGAAGAATTTCCATGCACAGTGCATCTATCACCCTTTTTACTATTAATACTCATTAGTCAGAGCAATTAGGTAAAATGGATCATGGTTTTACACATAAACTAATACTGAGCTTCAGAATTCCTTTTGTGGTGAAAAAGACAGGGAAATTCTTATTAGACTGCACAGATCAGAGCTGAGAGCACAAAAGATTATTTTTTATATAAAATATAGAAATGATTTTTAGAAAGATAATACATTTAAAAAGATAGGCATACCTACACCTTGTCCTTCCTGTCAATCCAGGCAAAGTTTCAAATTTGGAAACAGTTGATACACAGCAGTACAGAGGTTACTGAGAGAATTCAAAGATGCATCCTGAGGCACAACTGGGTGACTGAGGGCTGTCCTGAGTGTTTTGCTGGCCACACACCATGTGTATGATGTTACATTTTGGAAGAAAGCCCCAGGAATTTTTTTTTTTTATAACTTTCCCAAATGTCAGCTGTAGTAATTTTCAAGACATGTGAAATATTTCATTCTCATTGTGAAATAATACAAGCCATTTGTTGTGACTCTTGTCATCCTTTGACTGCTAATTAAAGCTCTCAAACTGTCCTTGGCAATTAAAAGTTCCATTGTGTGAATGTCTTTAAAAAAAATAATAATAATAATGTCATTAACAGCCTTCTCTGTGCCAATGCACACAGGGAGAAACTTAGAATTCAGTTTTTGTGATGGGAGCTTCTTTCCCTGCTGGACTTGAGGGGAAGCCATGCCAAGGAGCTGGGGTAAAGCAGGACAGGTAGGTGGGGATGGTGCTGAAACACAAACCTTGCTCAACCCCATTTACACTCTTTTTGAAAAGCACTGGTTTTTGCACCCCACCATAGGTGTCCAGGGCATGAATCTCAGTGAATATTACTTCTCAGTAATATTCATGATGACTGCTGTGCTTTCTCAGGCTTGCAACAAAATAAGATTCTTATTTTTTTGATTACTTTCTGGGACCAAGTATCCTAAGAGTGGTTGTTTAAAAATAATTTTTATCTTTTTTATTCTGATTGTCCACTCATTAGAATAATATTCTAATATTGCCTCTCAGACTTTGTATGCAAATCTGTCTTAAATATAGCCATGTAAACAATGTGTGTTTTCAATTAAAAAAAAAAAAAGAAAAATTGTCATGGGACAGGAATGTTATCTACTTATAGGAAAGCATTCTTCTCATTGGCTACTTAACCAAGATATGCACCATCTATCTCAATTCTTATTCAATTGTGTCCATTTTTGTTTGATAATTAAGTTAAAATGAAAAGGCAGGGGAGGCTGAATGGCTTTATTATGAAACTTCTCTATAATGAAAAATACTTTTGTTCCAAATTTTTATTCATTAGAGGATAATAAGTTAGCTATGCAAACAGTGCTAAAATTTATATACAAAAACATTCCAGTTAACACCATCACAATGGAGAAAACTCTAAATGGCTCAAGATTAAATGTTTGGGTTTTTTTTTTTAATATCTTGTAAAATTTTAATTTTGCAAAGACTTGAAACACAAGATGTAATTTGTGAATTACACATTATGTAAGGAATCCTAACAAATTGCAGGAGGAAAATCTTGAAACAGCCCATCTCACACTGACTCATAAAGGTAAGTGCAGTGTGACAGGAGATCTTCGTCACAGGCTTTCCAAAGCCTCCTCTTTGCTTACACTACCGCATTTCCGTGTTTAAGTTATTTTTTCCATAGTGAAGAACATTTGAGCAATAACAAGAAGTTTGGAATTTGTCCTTGCTTGGACATGAATCTCTAGGATCTGCCAAGTTCCACATTTACTCACAGACTGAATAAAAAACTGCAGCTGCATCTTAAATTTATATGAAAAATAACAAATCTTACAAAACTCGTCACATCAAAATGGGATCAAAATACTGGTTTTGCAAATCCAAGTCCTCTTTGCAAATCTAGTTTCTTATTTTCTGTTATTTTTCATTGCTGTATTTGGAACATATACTGGTAATGGAGAGAGATTTGAAACTGGAAGGCTATGCATTCAGTAGAAAATGTGAATAGGCACTGCAGTAGCTCCAGCCTTTAAAGGCCTTAGAACAAGTCTATAGAAGAAGCTGTAACTTTATACAGAAAGGGGATTTAATTTATTATGTCTTTACAACTTCATTCCTCATTTCAACCTATGGAAAGTATATGAAGATCTGGTAGCATTTCAGAGTTTGCACAGAGGTAATGGACCATGAATTGAAAGAATGTGAAGGGATAGTTCAAAAATATCTAGAAGAGTCAATAGTTAAGGTTTTTTTTTTTACTGTAAAAAACATATTTATTTATGTTTTAAGCTTGAATGATCTTTAATCACACCGTCTAGGCAGACTTTCCTGCAGAAAGTAAATATTTTCTAGAGCTGCAGAAAAATTCACAAATGCTAACTGAATCTCTCTGATCAGAATGATTAAACAAACATGTTGATGAACTTAGAGGTAAGACTGCTTAATTATCACACACATTACAAGGTAGACAAATATCAAAATTCCCAAAGGTTTCCAGAAATCTGGCTCTTGATCCAGCACTCCAGCCATTAAAAATCTTCCTTTTAAGATGGCTACAGTCTTTAACGATTGGGACAAAATTTTTGGATCAGTATGTTTTAACGATTGTATTTTCACTATTGAAATGTTTGGCAAATCAGCTTAATTATCATCTGTAACTGTTCATCTGTTCTGAGATAGCAGAAAGGTTTTTGAGATGATCTTTTGATGTAAAACTCTTTGTTCAGCTTAGTTGGATTTCTTCACATATAGTATAGAGATTGCTAAGGAGAGCTTAAACTGATGCAGTTATTCACAATTCCCAAAGAATGATCCTGGTACCATCACAGTTTATTACCACAGTGTGGTAATAATCAAGCCCTACTAACTACAGTTTAGAGCTTGAAAGAGCAAAAGGTGAAGGAGCAAATATAGGTTGAAAAGCCAGCAATGTGCTGATGGAAGAATGGAATGGAAAGGTGATTCAGTGGCTAAAGACAGCTTAGGGATTTGGGAGATCTGAAGCAAGATCCTAACTCCTCCACTGAAACCCTGTCTGAAGACTTTCTCCCGTCTGCAGTGGCTTGTGTAACAGCTTTTAAACTCAATCTTTCAAATGAAGCCAATAAGCCACTTGAAAAATGAGAGAGTAGAGAAATCAGAATTATTCTTGCCTGTGAATGCTGAAGGCCAGAAATATCATCTGGCTTCTGTCATCCTTGCCCTTCCTCTGGCCGTGGTCCCCACCTCTGTCAGGCTGAATGGGGAGCCAGCTCTTTGCACGGCCAAAGTCTTGATAACAGCCGTGGCAGTCTCAGTAAAAGAGAAGCTAGGAGCAGAGGTAAGAGGGGGGCAGGATAAAGAAGAATGAAAATATATGATTACTGTCTGGCATCTTCAGCTCTGAAATTTTCAGGACAAAGTCTAACCTCATTTTTCCAGAAGTCTTCATATTTTTTCATGTTTCTATAAGAACAGAGCCGAGCCAAGTGTGACTGGAAACTGTCAGTAGGTCAAATGTAGCTTGGACATTACACTTTATTTCTTGGGGTTTTTTGTTGCGTGTATAAATGGTGCATGTGAATACCACAAATGTGTCACCACACTGAAGAGTCAGTAAAATGTGAATTAAATAGTCTGTGAGCTGACACTATCTGTTCTGTGATGTGCAGAAGCTGCTACAGGGACTTTCCATTGTTGCTGGTGTCTTCATAGGGCCTTGAGCTATCAGCCGGCAGAGAAAAGCTACCAAAAATATTTCAGTACTCTTAGCTGCCTTAATTCTGATTTAAACTTCCAAAGGGACTGAGGGCAGTCAAGAGCACTCAGAAATGGGCCCTGAAAAGAAAGATCTCAAAGTAGCTAAAATTCTGTTTTTTCAGCTCACTTTCCTTTGGTGTAATGGGAAGTGAAGTAAGCATCTGGAACAGTTGGACTTCTGACAAATCATTCCTTAGTAATAGGATACAGGCTAGAGAAGAAAATTCCAGGAAGTCTCATTTCTCAAAGTACTTTATTTTCTTTTGTACATGCTTACTGCATAAAAAAAAAACAAACCAAAACAAAACCAAAAAGTGCCTATATATTTACATTATTTAAATTAATGTGATGTTACCATAATAACATTTTTATATTTTACATCTCAGTACCAAATACTCACAAATACCTTCTTTTGCCTCAGTAACCTCTGTACGGAGTTCCTTTTGTGTAAGGGTTGCATGAACAGCACGCTCATGGATGAGACAGTATGATAACACTGGATATAACAGAAAGCCTTTCAGTGTTTCGTCATAGTTGTCCTCGTTGCTTCAGACAATAAAAAGGGTGAGCAAATAGAAGTATTTATGACATAGGATTGTCAAAGAAAAACCATGGAAATTGCACATAAATCATATACAGTGATCTAAATCCCATAGTCTTTAAATCACATCTGCACACTTCTACTTTGTGGTTTAGTTATTTGAAGGTTTAATACAAATCTCTCATTTTAAATGAACTTTATTTCTCCATTCAAGCTCTGATGGATAAAGACCATGTAGTTGCTGTCTGAGTTTACTCATGTCACCAAACTCCATTTCCCTTGGTAGCTTTAAAAGCTGTAACCTTAAGTGCTTTGAAAGGAACAAAGACTGTTAATTTCAGCATATCTTACTTCATCTTCCACTCAGTTTTGATCACAGTTCCTAGAGGTTAAAGTGCATACTGACAATTCAGTACACACTGAGGGTTTTATGTGTATCATCAAATTATCTCAAAAATACAGTCCAATTGGGGAAAAGCAATCTCATGTCAAAATCTCACAGATTAACCCTACAAATAAAATGTAGGCATTACTAGAATCTGAAAAGGCCATTCTTGAATACTCTGAGCTTTCAAGACTCCTGTTATCTTCAGTTAGATTTCTAATGTAGTTAGGTAATGCTCTCCTTCATATTCTCAGTTTCTTCTGTTTGTGAGATTATACCAGTTGTGCTGAGCTTTTGTATATCCATTGAATAAGATTAATTATGCTTTGTGAGTACTAAAAACCTGAGTCTCTGAGCTGAAGTGTAAGCATGAATATAAATAGCATTCACTCACTCAAAAAGTGTAAGTGAATGCTTTCACTCCAAGGCAGAAGGGGTAAAGAATCTTCTTCTACGAAGAAATCCCAGCTAACTTCATGCAGATGGGTGTGGGTCCCCTTCCACTAGTGCTTTACCATTTTTTCAGCTACTTTTCATACGTACTTTCTTGTGTAAATCTGTAACTAGCCAGAGCAGTTGCAAAAAGGCACTGCTTGTGAATGAAGAAATCAGATGGTTTTGGATCACTGAAAAGAGAAATTAAAAGCCAAAAGGATGGACACATCTGAAAACGCATCCTTACCGGATTCATTTAAGAGAACTTAGTCAAATACAAACCCCTCTCAGATGAAACATCTTATCTAACTCACTATCAGGGGAGCCATATGTAGCTGCATAATCCTGACAATAGCTTCTGTACTGGGGCTCTGTTCAGAGAATTTTATGTACACCTTAGAAAAACATTCCCAATAATGTGTGCCAAGTTTCATTCAGCCATGAAAATAAGTAAGTAAGTAAATAAGCTACAAAATAGGATTCGATCATGAAAAACATCCACTAACATTAGAAGCAGGTCTCTATGGAATTTTCATTAAGAACAAACCATTGTTTTCCCTCACATAATGAACACTACCATGTTTACTCTGTGGACCTGTAGCAGATGGATATGAGTGGAGACTGATATGTTAGAAGCCTTTCTTCCTTTAAGGATTTCCTAAAATTATGCTATTGGGATAATGGCAAAACAGACTTTTTCCTTGGGTATTCACTTGAAATGGAAGTTCTTAAAGTGTCCAGGGAGTTTTCCATTTGCACAGACTGTAATTTTCTGCACCTCCTTGTGAACAAGCCCTTGTAG